ATAGATCACATCAAGATCTGATAAGATACAAGTCAAACTTCAGCAAAATTAAACAAATAGAAATTATACCTTATATGTTCTCAGACCATAAGGCAATAAAGGTGGAACTCAACTCAAACAAAAATGTTCATCCCCACACAAAAGCATGTAAACTTAACCTTAATGCTGAACGACAGTTGGGTCCAGGAAGAAGAGATAAAGGAGGAAATTGTTAAATTCATCAAACGTAAGAACAATGAAGACACAACTTACCAAAAACCATTTACTGCATTAGATGCCTAAGTTCAAAAAATAGAAAGAGAGTGCATCAACAAACTCATGAACCATCTTATGGAAATGGAGAAAGAAAATAATCTAATACCAAACCCAGCAGAAGAAAATAAATAACCAAAGTTAAATCAGAGATCAATGAAACTTAAAAGAATCATTCAGAGAATTAACAAAACAAAACGTTGGCTATACCCCTACTGCAGAAATTATTCCAAAATATTGAGAAGGAAGGAATATTCCCCAACATGTTCTATGAAGCAAACATCATCCTGATACCAAAACCAGGAAAAGATCCAACTAAAAAGGAGAACTTCAGGCTAATTTCACTAATGAATATAGATGCAAACATTCTCAACAAAATCCTAGCCAATAGATTACAGCTTATCATTAAAAAAGTCATACATCATGATCAAGTAGGTTTCATCCCAGGGATGGAAGGCTGATTTAATATATGCAAGTCCAGAAACGTAATTCAACATATGAACAGAAGCAAAAACAAAGATCATGTGATCCTTTCAATAGATGTAGAAAAAGCATTTGATAAAATTCAGCATCCTTTTTTTAATTAGAACACTTAAGAATTTAGGCATAGGCGGCACACTTCTTAAACTGACTGATTCCACCTATGACAAACCTACAGCTAGAATTATACTGAATGAAGTGAAACTGAAAGCTTTTCCACTTAAGAACTCGAACCAAACAAGGTTATCCTCTATCGCCATTACTATTCAACATAGTGCTGGAAGTTTTGGCCAATACAATCAGGCAAGACATGGAAATGAAGGGCATCCAAATGAGGGCAGAGGCGGTCAAACTCTTGCTCTTTGTCAATGATATGATCTTATTCTTAGAGAGCTCCAAAGACTCAACCACAAGACTCTTAGAAGTGATCAAAAAATAAAGCAATGTCTCAGGATATAAAATCAATGTCCATAAATCAGTAGTCTTTGTATATGTCAATAACAGCCAAGATGAGAAGCTAATCAAGGACACAATTCCCTTCATAGTAGCTTTAAAAAAATGAAATAGCTAGGAATATACCTAAAAAAATAGGTGAAGGACTACTACAAAGAAAATTATGAAACACTAAGAAAAGAAATAGCAGAAGATATTAACAAATGGAAGAACATACCATACTCGTGGCTGAGAAGAATCAACATTGCCATACTTTTGGTAGTATAGACATTGTCAAAGCAATCCACAGAGTCAATGCAATCTGCATTAAAATACCAACATCATACTATCAAGGTTTGGTAGAAATAATTCTTCATTTTGTATGGAACCAGAATAAACCCCATATAGCCAAGGCAATTCTTAGCAATAAAAACAAGGCTGGGACATCACTCTGCCAGACTTTAGGATATACCAAGGCCACAGTAATCAAAACAGCATGATATTGGCATAAAAATAGAGACACTGACATTTGGAACTAAATAGAAAACCATAAGAAGAAGCTAACGTCTTATAGCCACTTGATCCTTGATAAAACAAAGAACATACACTGGAGAAAAGAATCCCTATTCAATAAACGGTGCTGAGAGAACAGGATAACCACATGTAAAAGACAGAAACTGGACTCGCACCTTTCACCACTTACAAAGATTGATTCAAGATAGACAAAATATTTACATCTAAGGCACGAAACAATAAAAATCCTCAAAGAAAGTGTGGGGAAAATGAAGATATCAGCCTGGAGAAAGATTTTATGAAGACTTCTGTGGGAATTGCAACAACATCAAATATAAACAAATGGGACTTTAACTGAAAAGCTTCTGTAAAGCTAAGGAGACAATAACCAAAGCAAATAGGCATCTTTCAGAATGAGAAAAGATTTTTGAATATTATGAATCAGACAAAAGCTTGATAAATAGGATCTACAGAGAACTCAAGTTAATCAATGAGAAAAGAGCAAACAGGCTTGGCTCCTGTAGCTCTAGCGGCTAAGGTGCCAGCCACATACACCAGAGCTGGTGGGTTCGAATCCAGCCCAGGCCTGCCAAACAACAATGACAACCAAAAATAACAGAGCATTGTGGCAGGTGCCTATAGTCCCAGCTACTTGGGAGGCTGAGGCAAGAGAAATCGCTTAAGCCCAGGAGTTGGAGGCTGCTGTGAGCTGTGATGCCACAGCACTCTACCCAGGGTGACAGCTTGAGGCTCTGTCTCAAAAAAAAAAAAAAGAGCAAACAATCCCATGTATCTCACAGGGCAAGAGACATGAATAGAATCTTCTTTAAAGAAGACAGATGAATGGCTAACAAACATGAAAAAATGCTCATTGTTCCTAATCATTAGAGAAATGCAAATCAAAACCACCCTGATATATCACCTATACCAAGTGAGAATGCCCCATATCACAAAGTCTCAAAGCTGCAGATGCTGGAGTGGATGTGGAGAGAGGGGAACACTTTTACACTGCCCGTGGGACTGAAAACTAATATACTCTTTTTGGACAAAGTATGAAGAATCCTCAAAGAACTCAAATTAGACCTCCCATTTGATCCTGCATTCCCATTACTAGGCATCTATCCAGAAGGAAAAAAATCCTTTTATTGTAAGGAAGTTTGCACTAGACTGTTTATTGCAGTTCAATTTACAATTGCCAAAATGTGAAAACCATAAATGCCCACCAACCCAGAAATGGATTAACAAGCTGTGGTATATGTATACCATGGAATACTATTCAGCCACTAAAGAAGATAGACACTTTACATCAGCCACATACACTGGAGCTGGCAGGTTCGAACCCAGCCCGGGCCTTCCAAACAATGACAACTACAACCAAAAAACAGCCACGCATTGTGGCAGATGCCTATAGTCCCAGCTACCTGGGAGGCTGAGGAAAGAGAACTGCTTAGGCCCAAGAGTTTGAGGTTGCTGTGAGCCCTGATGCCATGGCACTCTACTGAGGGCAACATAGTGAGACTTTGTCTCAAAAAAAAAAAAAAAAAAAGTATACCATGTGCGTAAAAGTTTATGTATAGCAGAACATAGGCAGATACGTCCCTATTTCAGTAAATATATATGTGGTATGCCATGGGATGAGTGTGTGATCTAGTAAATTCTTTCTTCTCAGCTGAAACACACAAGTATTTTATATTTTATATCTTTTGCTATTTCTCTCAAACAAGTAAGAGCCTGCTATGTCTGCCAGGCCTACTATGAGGTTATCACTTCCCTTGAATGGTCTCAGTATGAGAAAATATGAATACTGAGCAATAGGCATGAAGCTGGAAAAGACAACAGTGTAGTCAAACAAACTTACAACCTTCAAAGATAATACCAAGACCCTCTTAAACTGATGCTGAAATAGCAAGGACCTGAAGAAGAACTAAGAAGTAAGGTAACTCTATGGGCAGTAAAACAGGAGTAAACTGCTATATGCAGTAACAGCTGAGAGGACGTAATGGAATCCAGAAGCAACGGCAGATAAAATGAAACAGGTTCTCTGGGACATTCCTAGGTACTAACAAGGATACAAGTTTACAATTGCAACTGTGGAAATCACTGGGATTTAAGTACTTTGTTTGAGAGGTCTGGGCATTTATGTTACACATTATCTAAAAGAAGGACTCTGAGCCAGGTGTATCTTAACCTGAGTTTCTCTATCCTAAGGCAGAGTATGCTCTTCTACCTTGTTCCATTACCTTCTTCCTACTCTTTTGTAGCTAAGAGTCAAGTGAAATCTTTTAATAAAATAGAAAGATTAGTCTTTTATTTGTCAAACAGTAATCCCAGAAGTCACCTGGGCAAATCAAGATTCCATTTTTAAACCTAGTGGCTGAAGTCTACAATTTATTCAAGTGGTTTGTTAATATTTAAGTTATCAATGGGGTAACAGCTGTCTATTGTTGTTATAGTATCAATATAATATTATACATCAAATGGGGCACTACACTTGATATATATGTTTTTTTTACACAGCAGACAAATGTGCAAACCTACAGTTGTTTTTGACCACTGGAATTTAGTTAATTAACCATGACCTCAGGCCTTTTTTGCAACCATGGGAGCAATTAATTAAATAAAATGGTACAGACTGAATAACCAACTGTTCCGATATCTGGATGTAAATCCATGTATCTGTGAGCATTCAACAACTGATTTCTCTAACACTATCTTCATATTCACTAAGTATAATAAGATTTATATTTGAAAATTAACAAGAAAATTTCATTACATTTTAAATTTGAATTATGTTTCTACCCATCAATATTTCATTGGTTACCAAGAAAACATGTCTCCTTACAATTCAAAGTTCTATTTTCATAGACACAAGAAGTGAAATGATCTACTCCATTCATTGTGGCTGGCAAAAACTGACCATAGACTGTGTGGAGCTACTTCACTTTTGAGATTAAACAGTTTTATATTTTGTCAATCTTTTAATACTTGTTTCTCAATTCATAAAATATAGAAAATTCAAGGTGGTGCCCATAGCTCAGTGGGTAGGGTGCTGGCCACATACACTAAAGCTGGCAGGTTTGAACCTGGTCCAGGACAGTTGGGCCAACAATGACAACAACAACGACGACAAAAATGACTGGGTGTTGTGGTGGGTGCCTGTGGCCCCAGTTACTTGGGAGGCTAAGGCAAGAGAATCGCTTAAGTCTAAGAGTTGGAGGTTGCTGTGAGCTGTGACACCACAGCACTCTACCCAGGGCGACAGCTTGAGACTCTGTCTCAAAATAATAATAATAAATAAATAAATAATTCAAAATATTCACCTTCAGAAAAAAGTTTGATGAAACAAGCAGGATGCTTGAGGTAAAATGACAATGCTGCATCTACTATGTCTCTGAGAGAAGATCTCTGGTTTGGCTGATGAAGTAGAATAGCTGATATGCACAGGAGTCCTCAAACACAGTGGCCCCCGTAAGTCCCTTCACCAATTTTTTGAAAATGATTAGTGTACTGATTCCACACCACAAAACAAAACCATGCTTCCACTACTTTCCTTGAGCATTACAAAACTAATTTCCTATTTTCAATACTGTAAAAATAGACTTGTCTTCTCCAAAGGATCTTGCTGTCCACATTGATGAATTTTTGTGTTTCTTCTTCTTACTAGCCCTAAAGGCATAAATCACCTTTATCGTTCTTTTAAGTTCAATCTTACATAAAGTTGCATAATGCGTGGAGTAAAAGAGGAACCAAGACAAAGCATGGAACCCTATATAAGTGTGCTGACCCAAAAGCAATCACACCAACAGCCAGAGGAAGTGGAAACTGTGAAGCAGTCTTCAACAATTTACTGTAAAGAGACAGAGAAATACATGTTATGTAAACTATATTGTCAACAGTCAATAAAAGAGAATATGTCAATCTTCTATATAGATTTGGGAAAGAGAGTGTTCTAACTGATTGGAAGTTATTTTTTTATGTAATAAATTTACCTGAACCTAATTTTCTAAAAGATCAATACAATTCATGTCTTGGCTAGAAAAGGGAGAAATATTTCTATTTAGAAAATACCCACTTTTGTTTAGACTTTCACGTTTTAGCAACAGAAAAATACTAGTTGAACTTTGACTCAGTAATTTTACCTCTAGAAATTTATCCTAACAAAAATAATCATGTTCACTAACATACAGCTACAGAAATGTTTACTTTAACCCTACTTATAATAACAAAAAAACTACCAAACAAAAGAGAAACCACCTTAAGTTTCCAACCAAAGCAGCATATAAGACAAGACACTAAATATTTTTAAAAGAAAAATACTATCAGTAAAGGCCATCACTTTTTACTCTGAAGACAGAGAAATTGAGGATAAGAGGGGTTAAGAAACCTGCCTAGCAACAGAGAACTTTTAAATGGCATCTGCAAAAATCTGCCAGAATCAACTGAAAAGGCTTGCAGAGTAAAAAAATCAACAAATGAGGGCGGCGCCTGTGGCTCAAAGGAGTAGGGTGCTGGCCCCATATGCCAGAGGTGGTGGGTTCAAACCCAGCCCCAACCAAAAACTGCAAAAAAAAAAAAAA